TCCCCTTATCAGCTGGTGTCTGAGAATTCAAGTCAATGGGAAGCATTAGCAGCAAAGTGGAAGTGGAGGATGAGAGGCCAAGGCTTTCCTCCTCTCCTCTCTCTGCTTCGGGAGGCATGTTTAACAGTAGCTGTGCCACCTCTGTTGGTCAGCTCTTCCCACCATGGTCTCAGTTCTAGACAGACGGGCGATGGCAGCTTCCTTTGTACTTTGGCCAATATGCGGGTTGCCTCTCTGTTTCTTGTTCTGTCTTCTCATCTGTCTGCAACTGTGACGTGAGATTTAAGGTTTCTTCCGATGATAGGACACAACACGGTAACACTCAGGTAGAGGAAAGGAAGAACTCATTGTTACTTATAGCTCCAAACGGGACAAGACTGCCAAGCCATGCCACAAGGGACTTGCACCTGTGCACAAGGTAACAGCTGGTTGGAACTATGTAGGAGGTGGCTTATGTACAGCAAGCGAGTGAAGTTAGCTAGATTTAGAGGGCCTCCTGGGGACTCAGTAATTTGAATATTTCTGTGGACCCAAGAAGAAAGGACCCCAGGTACCTGGGGTGTCTGGCCTTGGATAAGTGTGTATTGTAACCTAGGCATGTAGAGCCTGATAAGGGAAGTCTTTGGAGTGGGGGTTTAGCTAATGCCTCTGAAGGGGAATTGAGAGTTTTCAGCTATGACTTCAAAACTAGGTCAAGATGGCACTTGTGATCTATTTTATTACAGCAACAAATTCCCTGTGTGAAATATACCTTCCCTCTGTGTGAAATATCTAGAATGTTTTCTATTTTCCAACTGGACTCTGACGAATACAGATGTATTTGATTGCATTCCAAATCTTTAAACATTGATAAACTGTATAGAGTGCCACATTAACCTCACCATTAATCAGAATACTGTCACTTTATTGTTAGCCTCACCATCTACCACTAACGACTCCTTCTGCCCATGTTTGTCTCTCTTATTATTTTATGAATTTCTTAGAGGCAGGGATTGTGTCTTATGTACTCTTTCTCACAACCCCCAGTCCAGAACGTGACCAAACCCCAAATGTGTGCTTTAATAAATCTACAATTAATTATATGAGTCTCTGAGAGCGTATCAGTCATGTGTTCTGACTTCCACCTTGGCTGCAGTTCAGGGCGGAAGCCTGCTCCATGTTCTGACCTTCATAGTCTTGACCCCCACAGCCTGGGACAGGATCCAGATTCTTTAATGAATCATCTGGCATACTACTTATTTTCTTCCACACACTCCTATAAAATTGGCATTTATCACAGCCTCCATGAAGCAGACAGCTCTGGCTTGTTTGTCTTAGTTTTGTTTCAATTTCTAAGAGAGATATGGGGCTTATCTCCAGGGCCAGCTTCGTGGGCACAGGGTTCCTCGCTCACATTGGCCCAATGTTAGTTTAACGTTTCAATGTTGCCATCTTGGAATCCTTAATGCTTTTTAAACAAGAGGCTCCACATTTCCATTTGCATTGGACACGGCAAATCATGTAGCCAGTCCTGCCTACCTCGTTTCTGTATACCCTAAGCTTGTAATATTAATTTATCATTGAGACATGTGGGTTTAATATTTATAAAACCCTCAGTAGTTCAGAAGTTGCCCCATTTTCTTCAGGAAATATACTCTAAATCTCTTAGTGCGGCATGGCACGAAGAGCTTTTAATCTTCTGATACCTCCTGCACCTATGCTGACCACACTAAAACTTTCTCAGTCCCACCTCTCTCTACTCTGACTCTCTTCCCTTAACATGTTAACTCCCAGCTATTGTTCTACTTGTTTTCTCTAAACTTTGCCAGCTGATATCCTGCTCCCATCCTGCATAGGGTGGTCTTCTGTCTCTATCCCTGGCCAACTCCAACTGATCCTACAGGTCTGAACTCAGGTGCCACCGCCTCTCGGAAGCCCTCACTGATCTTCCAAAAGCTGAGATATGGGTCTCTCACAGCACTCTATGCTCAATCTATCATAGCACTTATCTTACTATTATGTTCTTTTCTGTTTATTTTTCTGTCTCCATCATTAAATTGTGAATTCCTTATAGAGAGAGACTTTCTCATGCTCTCTGAGGTGGCAGCCATACTCAGCTCCACAGAGGCACTGAAATTCCTACTTATCAAATGCATGCATGAATGAATGCAGAAATTACTGGTTTATTTGGACAATGCATGAGGAGACCTATAAGGTTTACTTTTGTCTCACCTAGGAGAACAGTACTTTCATTATTGAAGAAGACATTCAACAGCACCCTTTGGCACAGAAGCATGGATTCCTTTTTCAACACATTTTTCCTTTTCAGAAGAGTTAGAACCTTTTAAAATTTCTCAGCCTTTGAGAGAGGTCCTGAGGTCTCTCCTGGGACAGACCCTTGCCCAGATTATGGAGGAGGCTTAAGTGAGACGTTCCTTACCCCAAAGACTGTGTGGCCCTATGCAACTCCTGGAGCAAGTGTCTTTGCCTTCACCTCTCCTGGTCTATGTCCTATTAACCCTTTACGGGGCCCAACTGAAACACTAACTCCCAACAGTTTTAATGTAATTAATCACTCTCTGCTTTTCAGTGGCATTTTGTTTTTACCAGTAGGGATATTTGGCACACATTCTGACTAATGTCATAGTGACTTGTGCACTAGAATAGATGATAAACTTTGAGAGCAGGAGCAGAATGTGCTAATCTTTGTATCCTTTAAGTCTTTATGTCTTACACACAGTTGCTACTCAAATTAACATAGAAAAATATGGATCTCTGACAGATAGATTGATATACAATTAGTCCTAGAAAAGAAGAAATTTGAAAAAGGAAAGAGGGTGGCTCTATCTGATGGAAAGAAAAATTTCCACTATTAGAAAATACCTGAACTTGGAAGAAGGGCTCCAGGGAGGATATAGGGCAAAAAAACAAAAACAAACAAACAAAATGGAGTATAAGCGGACAAGGGAAAGGACCTGGGTGACAAAGAGGATGCAAGTCCTAAAGTCCTAAAGGTAAGGAGGGTTTAAAATTGGGTAATTAAGCCACCACTGAGACAGTGATGGATGGAAGAGGAGGGATGAGGAAATTGCAGGGCAACCTGAGCAAGGCTGTGGAGGCTGCCGAACTTTGCACTGGCAGAAAAGAAGGAAGTGTGGCTCCAGAAGCAGAGGTTTCTAGGCATGAAAACATGGTGCTTGTCTGAATAACTGCTGCTGCAGTCAGTATTCCTGTTAAACATGCCGCTGTTTGAAAGTGACCTAGCTGTAACCATGTTCCTTGGGAAGCCTCTGTTCTTGTTTTTAAGCCAATTCTCATATTCTCCATATTCTCTTGCATCCAAATAAATGCAACTCCAAAGACACTGAAATTAAGTTTTATTTAATGGACTTCACTCGTATTGCTTCTCTCTCTCTACTTCCTCTCTCCAGCCAGGTTTCTTCTACTCTCTTTCTCTTCTCTTATCAAGAGCAATTTGGCATCTTTCTGTAAATTTGGATCTTGAATAGTAAGCTCTCTGAAATATAAAAATTTCCTGAATCAATGAGTCATTTTGAGTCATTTGCCTAATGAATCTGAAATTCTGGTGGGGAGGGTGAAAAGGGAGATAATTCTAGGCGCTCACTGGGAGTCTGAATTTGGAAAGTAGCACTCCCCACCCGAATTCTGTTTTCATTCCATCTCAGAGCACTAATGCTTGTCTTACAGCTCGTTAAAAGTGGCTATGAGCACAATTAAATATTAAATAGAAGGTTCCAGAGGAAAAACTATCTCTAACGGGAAGGAAAACAAACTTTGTAGTGAGAAAAATGAAAGAAGAAACTGATCTTTGTTGTTTGACCTTTCTAACTCCCACAATGATTTTGCATATTACTTCTGATTAAGAGCCCATACCTGTTATCTCGGGGTGATTCTTGAGTCCTTGTGGGTCCAGGTGCAAGCTACATAGTAAGAATGTGATAGCTCTATGACCTTGTAAAACTAAACAGTCTTGCACTGAAACACTCTAACATTCCTCTTCCTGCCTATATAGCCTGGCCTTAAGAAATTTAAATCAAACTAGTTTTTCTCTTGCTCCAAGTTTGAAATGAAACTTTGACAGATGCTAGTAATCTAACTTGTCTGAGACGCTTGGCTTAAACAGTGATTCAATTGGTCAAAAAAAAAACCCCAAAACAAAACAAACAAAGAAACAAAAAACTCGAGTCTGGAGGCTTTGCCAGAAATAAATGATAAAGATTTATTCAAGGTCTTAGGATTTGCAAAGCAGAAACATAACTAGGTGACAGCCAGAGTTCCGAAGAAGAAAGAAAAGCTGAGGGCTCTCCTAATAAAAGTACATTCTTGAGAAGAATCAGTTCTGCGTTCTTAACCTCTGTACTGGTCTCAGATGGTAACCCTCTAGATGAGGGGTGGTCTGGATACTTGAACATTCTATCCTTAGTCCTTCAGGGGGTAGAGGGTTATCTGGAGGTTTGGTCTGTACTATGGCACTGAGACCCAATTGGAAAGTTCAAAAGTTTAAGTTTCCAGATTACTTAAAACAAGAACAGAATCATTTCCTCATACCCCCACCTACTTGATATTAGTAAATTTGGCAGCTTGACTGCAGTGACTCTATTCTTCTTCACTCTATTCCTCAGAGGCTAACCTAGGACAAGGGTGCTTCCAGACAAAACACCACATGGGAGGAAATAACCCCAAACTCTATCTTTCAGTATCTCTTAAAGGAGTCCTATCTTTCAGTATCTCTTAAAGCTCTATATTCTGTCTTGCAGAGAGCTTGTGGCAGGAATTGGCTCGATGATAGCTTCTTTAGAGCTGCAGTCCTGATTTAAAATCGCTACCCGACTTAGTGAGGCTGTCCTTGACACACATCTGATTTTCTGGGAAGAGATTACTACCACAGTAATTGAGCGGGGAAGCAGAGACAAATTGCTCTTGGCGGCTTCAACAGCGGTTCAAAATACTGCAGTTGACCGGAATCACACCCTGCAGTTTTCCTTCCTCCAGTGTGCAAGATGCCAACAGTGAAAGCACTGCACCAACAGATTATCTGCAAGATAGGAGTGGAAGGGGAGAAGACCACCACCAACCAGATTGTAAAAGAACCTCGACCCCGTGGTAGAGTTACATGAATGACTAAATAAGAGAGGGAAGGCCGGACCTCCGCTGTGGGTCGACTCTGGGACCCGCCAGTGGTGCAGGATGATTAATTTATTTACAGTGGGCTGGCGGAGCCCGCAGCTGGCTGGAGCCTGCGGTGACATCACGGGCCGGGGCGCGGGTCACGTGCCCCGCAGGCCGCCCCGCCTCCGCCTGCTCCGCCTTCTCCCGCCGCCTTCAGAGCAGAGGGTCCGGCCGCTGCGTCCACTCGGAGCGCTCGGGGGAGACGCGGAGCGAAGGCCGAGGGCAAGCAGGCGAGCGGGCACGAGCCGGGCCGGGGCGGGAGCGGCCTGGGGGCCCGCGGTAGCCGCGCGGCGTCGGGAGTGACGCGGCCGAGGTTCCTGCAAACTTGGGCGCGCGCTCGCGCCACGGCGCCCGCGGCCCGAGCGATGAAGATGGTCGCGCCCTGGACGCGGTTCTACTCCAACAGCTGCTGCCTGTGTTGCCATGTCCGCACCGGCACCATCCTGCTCGGCATCTGGTACCTGGTAAGCGCGGCCGGCCGCGACGAGGCGCCCGGGGCGCACCTGCCGGGGAGGGGGCGCCAGCGCCCCGGCGCCCCGTGGGCGCCAGCGCCCCGGCGCCCCGGCTTCGCTTCTCGTTCTGCCCCAAGTTGGCTCCTGGTTCGGCCTTGGGCTGGGTGATGCCGGCTCTAATCCGCCTAAAGTTATATTATTAGAAACTTAATTCTCTGCGCGAGCGTGCGACTGATCGCCCGGCTCGGCTCGGCCAACCTGTGGCGGGGGCCCGCTCAGGGCTGGGAGTCGGGGGCACTTCGGGGGCGCCGGTGGGCGGGGACGCGCCCCAAATCCCTGTGCACAGAGCCCGCTGCCGCCGGCCTGAAGCCCTGCGGTTTCCGGTGAAAGTGCTCTTGGTGGCCGGAGAACCGATCTTATCTGCGGAGCACGCGTTTTCTTTTCTTTTCTTCTTAATACCCAGTGGGCTTTGTGTTTCGACGGGTCCCGGGTGCAGCGTCGTGGGGTGACTGGGTACGTTTTGTCACCCTGCGGTCAGGGTCGCAGACCCGTGGTGCCCATTCTCCCTGCTCGCACATCGCCTCGGGTTTGCTGTGCCATCCGCTGCGCACGTTCGGATCCCGAGTCCAAATGGTTGGGTGTTCTTGTCACACTCTGTGAATGGTTCTCCTCACACTTTTGTTGTAAAGCCTTTAGGAAGGGGTTTGCTGGTGATTTACCGCGTTTCAGTCGGCCAGGGGAAGCCATTTTACACCCACTTATTTTCCTGCCCATTGACGGGGGTGATCCCTGTACCTTTCTTAGCAGGCAACGCAAGCAAATCTAATTTTTTTTTTTTTTTTTTAGGTTGGAACTTTTAAGATCGTATTTGTATGGGGAGTAGTGATTATCAGGGGCAATGAGGAAACCTGATCGAGTCTTGCCTTGTGCCTGCTCCAGGCTGATTGTGGGCACTCCTAGACTGCACCAGCATTGAGTTGATTGGATTCCCTTGCATTTCAGATTTTGTGACATCATGGAAGGTTACACCCAAGCCACTTTTCAGTGAATACCACTGCATCATGAGGAAATACCTTAAAATGATAGTAAGGTGGCCTATGGAACTTTTTAATGAGAATAAATTCTTCTCAGTCATCAATTTTTATTGTTGGTTCCTATTCAATTTTTTGATGCAATATGGACATTATGTTGAATTGTGTCATGTGCCATTTTAAGCAAAACATTTCCCCCCAGGCATATGGTGTTCTCTGTGCTATTAATAGTTTCAAGTTTCCTTTAGTCAGTGCCTGTCACAGGACACACAATAGAAATTTTTGGCCTTGAAAGCTTTCGAATAGATCTTTGGTATGTGTGGGTTTTTATTGTGCAGTGTGAATGCGGATAGAATGTTAAAATCTTGGCTGAACCCTAACTTTGCTAAAAGCCAGGAAATCTCTTTATAGAAATTTAAAATTACTGTATAGCAAAAGGTAGTAGGTAGCTTCAAAATAGCGCTTTTATTGATGATCGAGACAGATTATTTTATATAGATATCTTGTGTCCTCGAAAATGTTCAAATCTGCAGACTTGCAAGTACATCAGTGAATGTAATTTGTAAAATCTAGGGCACTGCATTAGGCAAATGTACTGCATGATCTACAGGAAAGATAAGTCTACTTGAGCCCTATTATTGGCTATAAGCCAACCAGACAGTATTGGTGTGATCAAAGAACTTTGAATGTTTTGTCTCTTGTTAGAGCATGCCGTTTGTGGAAAGTAGTTATTGGGTGCATGTTTTAGCATTTGGAAATATATGACAGATAATTAGAAAGCTTTCTAATAGAGGTAAGAATGCCACTTAAGATAAACCTAATTAATAGGAAACCTGGTTTAAGTACTAATAATCTTTATAAAAAATCTTTTTCACTTCATAAAACAATTTAGACTTTTTTTTAACAGTGAGTTTCCCCTCATACCTTTAAATATAATTTGGTTATCCACAACTTTGATTTACATGAACAGTTTTAGGCTGAGGGAGCAGGGTCACTGAGGAACAAGGCACTTCTCCCTCTTTCCCCCACACCTCACCTCACCAGCCATCTGAATGGAATGTGGGGTCAGTTATCAGGAAAAAAAGGATAGCACTATCTGTAGATATTCAAATAAGAGTCCACCAGAAGGATTCTTTCTTAAACCAATAAATGAGTGCCTGTTATGCCAGATAGATAAAGTGGATATTGTTTATGCGTTTTCTTGTTTCCTACCACCACCCTTTACTAAAGTCCAGTGTGTCAGGTACTATACTTGATGGTTTGCATAAGCTCAACTTTTACATATTCTTAGTGAGATAATTTTCTTTTTCCCTTTTATAGATGATAAAAACTAGGCTAAGGGAGCTTAGGCGATTTACCTAAAGTCCCATAGTCGGTTTATAGTCTGAGCGACGTTTTAGTCTGTCCCGTTTCTACTGTTTTCCTTTTTAAAAGTTGTGTCTGTGTTTCATTTTTGCCTTGGAATAATAAAGATTTCCTAGTAACAAAGCATATTTATTTTAGATATTTATATTAGAGACCTTTTTTTATTTGTCTTTGTTTTATTTTTTCCTTTTGTTGAGGCAATATTTACATAAGGTGAAATTCACAGATATTAAGTGTACAGTCCATTGAGTTGACAATGCATACACCTGTGTAACCATAGCCATGGAGAACATTTTAAAAAACCCAGAAAGTTTCCTTGTGCCTCTTCCCAGTTAATCCTCACCATATACATCCCCTCATCACAGGTGAGTTTTACCTGTTAATATTAGTGGAATTATATTATATTCTTTTGTATCAGGTTTCTTTCACTTAGCATGATCATTTATGTTATTGGGATATATTAGTAGCTTGTTCCTTTTTATTGCTGAGTTTATTTTATTGTATGAATATACCACAATTTGTTTACCTATTTGCCTGATGATAGTCATTAGGATTGTTCCCAGTTTGTAGCTATGATGGATAAAGCTGCTCTGAAGATTCTTGCACAAGACTTTAGGTGGACATACATGTATTTATTTCTTTTGAGTAAATATCTAGTAGCGGAATTGCTGGTCATTGGGTAGATACCTGTTTAACTTCATAAGAAACTGCCAACCAGTTTTCCAAAGCAGTTCTGCCCTTTTACACTACAACCGACAAATGTGAAGATCTAGCTGCTCCACTTCCTTGTCAGCACTTGGTGTTGTCAGTCTTTTTAGTTTTAGCCCTTCTAGTGGGTGTGTAGTGGTAGCTCATAGTGGCTGTAGTTTGCATTTCCTTTACTAAGGATGTGAAACAGTTTATTTTTGCTTATTGGCCAGTTATATATCTTCCTTCGTGAAGCACTATTGCTCATTTTTTAAATTGGATTTTGTCTTTTTTTCTTATCGATTTGTAAGAACTCTATATATTTTGTGTACCAGTCCTTTGTTAAGTATAGACTTGTGGATGTTTTCTCCCAGGGTGTGGCTTACCTACTCATTTTCTTTTAATGGGATTGCTTTTAAGATTTCCTTGGGCTGAGAGACCAAAGAGAGAGGCTGCCGAGTCCGGCATTACATTAAGAGTTTATTTCAGGGAACTTACATATCAGGCGTCTTGGGCAGCGGCAAGGCAATGTGGATATCCTCTGTACTGCATGGCAGTTGCTTAAGAATTATATATCGGTACTGAGGCTTGACCCGCCCTAGATAAGGGGAAATGCCTTACATGCTTGCCCAGGGCAGGGCAAGTGCCTGTTTAGGAACCAGCATGCGTGGGACATGGGGGAGGGGTGGTTCAGTCAGTCCCTGTGGGGAATTATGGGAAGCAGTCTCCGTCTGGCCGGGGTCTAGCTATGGTCATGCCATGGAATAGTCTCTCTTCCACTGGTATATTTTGATGAATGAGAGTTTTTAATTTTGATTAAGTTCAACTTGTCATTTTTTTTCTTTTATGGTTTGTACTCTGAGAGCTAAGACATCTCTGCCTACTCCAAAGTTGTAAAGACATTCTCTTACATTTTCTTCAGAAGCTTTACGGCTTTAGCTTTTATATTTACATCTGTGATCCATCTCAAATTAATTTTTCTATTATAACGTGAGGTAGAGGTTGAATTATTACATAACTTTTTCTATCTACAAACATTATTGGAAAGACAAGTAAGATACTTATCCATCTTCACAGAGAATGAAGGCTGACTTGTCCTGGTTTTTAGAGGGATCATGATATAAAGAATATTTGAAGCAGACTGATTGCTATGTAGTCATCTGGGATTTCCTCTTTCTTCCTTCAATAAAATTCAGTATTTTAAACCTGAATCAATTAAATCCCTTGCTAAATTTGCCCATACTCTAGTCTCTCACCGTCTATCCAGACTCTCCAGGTAGATGCCTCTTTCCTCTCTGCATCTTATTCTCTTCCTTTATTCCATCTGTACTGTGACTGCAGACTCGAAGGATCCACTTGCTCGCTTGCATCCAAGCCAAATAAAACACGAATTGGAAATTGCAGCAAAGGAAGTAAAGGGTTATTTAAGGAATTAGTGCCACGCCTGGAGACACAGGTGAGCTAGTGTTCTCAAAAGCTTGGCTTCGGGATGGCCTCTACCGGCTGGGTTACATAAGGGAGAAATCAGTCATGGTTACTGTGGTAGTTGGGGTCCTGGGCTCTACTGATTGGTCAGGGCTGAGGTAGGAGGCGGTCGATCATGGCACCAGGTCCTGATGTCAGTCACGGCATCGTTCTGTCTGGTTTCCAGGGGATGTGGTCTGTGGGGCCGTTCCACTTCCTTCAGTCTGGAGCTGAAACACAACTGAGGCCCAGGTGCGATCTTTGTTTGACTAAGACCTTATTCTCGTTTGAGGTTTGGTTATTGTCTCTTGGTCATGATTGATAGACCTGAAGCTTTATTCTTAAGTGAATTTGGTGCTGACCAGACCCTCATGTCCTAAGGACTTAATGATTAAAAGGGTGGACATACGCTGTATGGTACAGGTAGGAGAATCTGGTGCAGAAAATAAGTGAGTCATAGTTCTA